GGGGATTGAACTCAAGGGCGCTTAACCACTGATCCACATTCCCAGCCTTATTTTGTATTTTATTTAGAGATAGTGTCTCACTGCATTGCTAGGCTGGCTTTGAACATGCTGTCCTCCTTTCTCAGCCTCCCATGTTCCTGCCACTGTGCCAGGCTCAGATGTATTCTTTTTAAAAATATTTTTGATCTTCAGTTGTTGAATCCCAGGATTCAGAACCCACAGATATGGAGACTCAACTGACTTCACTTTAGTGTTTTTTTGCTTTTGTTTTTGTTCTGTGCTGGGCATCTAACCCAGAGCCTTACACATTCTAGGCAAGTACTCTCCCTCTGAGCTATACTCCCAGCCCTGACTGTCGTCACTTTGGAAGGCCATTGTAGAACCCCCTTTCGAGGCCTTTTGAGTTTACATATGCTCTTCCAATGGTCAATATAGGAGACATTCACATGCACTCGACATGTATGACAAAGATTATTTCTTCTTCTTCTTCTTCTTTGGGCCTCATTAAATTGCTGAAGCTGACTTTGAACTTGAGATCCTCCTGCCTCAGCCTCCCAAGCCACTGGGATTATAGGTGTGACCCACCACACCTGGCTTATAATTTCTTGATTGCAAGCTCTCAAGGGAGGGACATTTTGACTCATCTCCTGGTTTGACAGCTCATGTCTATATGGTTTTTCTCAGCAAAGTATCCATGGTTTTACCAGCTCTCCCTGCTTCCTGCATCTCTCTACTTTATAGATGAACAAATTCAGGCCCAGAAAGGTTAAGGGAACTTTTTTCAGTTTTGTGCTTCCACCAGAGCTTTCCACCAAGGAGGGATTTGGAAGGCAATTTTTCAAATATATATTTGTAGATGGACACAACACCTTTATTTTGTTTTTTAGATTTTTTTTTAAGTGGTGCTAGGGATCAAATCCAGTGCCTCTTGCATCCTAGGCAAGCATTCTACCACCTAGACACCACCTCAGCCCCCAGAATGCAATTTTTAGAAACTCTTTTCAGAAGTGTGGGATTGGGGTGGAGAGAGGGGATGGAGGCATAAGGAGGCAGCAGCAAACACTGGATTGTAAGTTTACTTTTCCAAGACAGGGGAGGGCTCCGAGGCCATGCTCAGAAAGATTGGCAGACTCACTTGCTGATCAGCAAAAGCCAAGGTGACAGGTGGTAGAACTGGAAATTAGCATTTTAGTTCCAAATAAGATGTGATTAGAGCCCATTCTGTAAAGGGTTTTAGTTGCTTAGAAGAATTCTTAGGTCTGCATTAAGCTATATCTGCCCTGTCTCCCACTTCAAAAAGGACCCACCCCAGTTGGAACTGAGCTTTTTTATGCAGTCGCTCATCAAGTGAGCACCTGGGTGTCAGGGACTATACCACGATGAGGTACAGAAATGCACAAGAGCAATGAACAAACAACGCTGACTCAAAGAAACATGGGAAACTATGCAAAGAAGACAAACACCGTACTGTGAGAGCAGATAGCAAGGCAATCTGGTTTCATTGGGATCTGGTCAGTGAAGGTTTCATGAAGGAACTGAGAATGAAGCTGAAACTTGCAGGTTGAATATTAACAGCACGTAACTTGGGGAAGTGGCCTGGCCTTCCAAATGGAAGGAATAGAATGTGCGAATGTCCTGAGGTAGGAAAAAACATGGTTTGTCAAAGGGATGGAGGAGGCCAGAACTCCAATAAAATAGTCCTTCTCTTCCCTATTCCAATCTCTCTCTCCTGGTGCTAGAAAAATCTCTTGAGTATGCCAGACCCTTTGAAACAAAGAAAAGAATTTGGCAGCACATGATCACTGCATGTCTGATGAGTTTTTAGATGGCTGAATGGGAAAGCCTTGGGGTGAGGGGTTTGCTGTAGCTGGTAGAGGGACTTGGACAGCCACTGAGGAGACAAAGAGGAGAAAGTGGAGAGGGGAATGACCTTGGAAATCCTCCTTGGCTTCCTTCAGTCCCCTGACCACAGGGCCTTTGCAGATGTGCTTTCTTTGTTTGGAACCGTCTTCCCACATTTCTTTCCTAAGTTATGCTTCCCCACTCCCCACCCAAACTTTCACATCACACTGGTTTTGTAAAGACCCTTCCCCTTTCCTTAATTTCAACTATCATCTTCAATCATATGATTTTAGGATTAATGTCTCTTTCTTGCTCACTGTTCTATAAGTGCAGGGAAGCCAGGGCTGCACCTGGTTTTGTGTCCCACTGGATCCCAATAGTACTTGGTTCTTATATTAAATACTCTCAAAATATTTGTGGTGCATAGCTGACCATGTGGCAGATGCCATTAATATCAGCGACTCAGAAGGCTGAGGCAGGAGATCTGCAAGTTAGAGGCCAACCTCAGCAATTTAGCAAAGACCTCTCTGCAACTTCGCAAGACCCTATATCAAAATTTAAAAAGTGCTGGGGATGCAGGTCATGGTAGGGCGCCCCTGGGCTCAATCTCCACTACCCAAAATCGTGCAGCCAATGAATGGGGTGCAAGAAAAGCATGCCTAATAAAAGTTCTTTATGGAGCACTTTCTATGTGCCCCACTGAGCTAAGTTTTTCCCCTCTAAGTTTCACATGTTTATTACAGAACCAATCTACTAGTGCAGAGCATAAAAACAAAAAGAAAACCAGATTCTCAATGAAACATGTCCAGCTGTCCAGTCAGTGGTGACCTTTCAGCTTGATACGGTAAGATAGTGACCTTGATAAAATGCAAATGTGTATGCCACCTCACGTGCAATTCCTTAGACCACTTGGTTCTTTCCTACGTCTCCTCTGAATTTATTACCGGTTTTCATCCGAATCCCTTAAGGGAGTGGGACGATTTTGCTTTTGTTTCTTGTCCAGGAATCGCTTGATCCTGGAAGTCTTATGAGAAGCAAGGAACGGAGTCCAGCACACATGGCGACAGCGGAGAAAAGGAGACCACTGAGTTCTGTGGTCGCATTATCTTAATCTCCCCGACAACTCTCTGAGGGAGGTAGGGAGGTTTTCCTCATTTTACAGATAAAAAGAATGAACTTGAGATGGTTAAGTGACTTGCTCAAGGTTACTCTGCTCGTTAGTGCAGTAGTGGGAGGCGGGCTTCACATCCAGGTTCTTCTGACTCCAAAGTGGCAAGGGGGCGGGAGGTGAGTCCAGGCTGGAGTGGGGGCGCACTCGAGCCCGCAGAGTCTAACCAGAGAGGGGGCTGGAGACTCCTCGGCCCAGCTCCGAGCCCGAGCCAGTGGTGCAGCGCCCGCCCCCGGTTGCGGGCGCAGGCTGGCGGACGCCTCCGGGCCACGTGGTGCGCGCGGCGGGCGCGTCCGAGGAGCCCGTAGCAGCTCCTGGCTCACAGCGCTCCGGGCTAGGCGAGCGGGAGGACGCCGTGTGCTGGGTCGGTGCTGGCGGCAGGGCAGGCGGAGGAGGCGCAGAGAAAGCCGGTCGGCCAGGACGCTGCAGCAGGCGGCGTCGGGGCCGCAGCTTCGGCCCTTCGTGCGCCCCTAGCGCCAGGTTCCTGCGCCCTGGGCGCACGGTGGAGAGGGACCCGGAGTCGATCGCGGGGCCGCCATGGAGCCTGTCCCCTCTGCGGATGCCGAGCTACAGCCCCTGATTCTCACCAACGCCTCGGACGCCTTCCCCAGCGCCTTCCCCAGCGCGGGCGCCAATGCGTCGGGGCAGCCGGGCGCTCGGAGCGCCTCATCCCTCGCCCTGGCTATCGCCATCACCGCGCTCTACTCGGCTGTGTGCGCAGTGGGGCTGCTGGGCAACGTTCTTGTCATGTTTGGCATCGTCCGGTGAGTCCACTGCGGGCTGGCGCCGCGGGATTTGGCCCCGGAGTGAGGATTGTGACCACGGATTTGGGACCTGGGCCTCGACTCCTCCAACCTTCGCACGAGGTCCAGAGGGGAGGGTACTTCTTTTGAGAGTGGACACAGAAATGAGTGTCTTGTGTGAGTGTGTGTGTGTGTGTGTGTGTGTGTGCGCGCGTGTGCGTGCGCCCGCGCTTGCTTCTAGAGCTTGCCTAACATTTAATCATTCGTTTGCATCCCCTTGCTTCTGCACCAGGGTTGTGGGACAGTTTGGCAACAGTTTGTGCCTGTCAGTTTGCGAGTGGGTGATTGTGAAAGTAAGAGTATATGTTTAGTCCTCTGAAACCTCAGGGGTGGGCGGAGATGCTCTACAGTGCTTTGGGCCTTTGGGGTAGACTGATGAGTATGGACATTGTCATATTTGCACCATGCTTGGGGGGTGCACTTACCAAGTCAGATTTGGTAACTATGTTGGGGTCCTCGTGTTGGTGTTTGCTTGTCCCAAACCATCAATTTGTAGTTCTCTCTGAGAATGAGATGTCGACTGTGATGTTTCTTGTCAAACCTCTGAAACCCCAAGGAGAGGTGTCATCCAAAGTGGTTTTGGGCACCCATCTTTGTGCAGCTACATATGCTTGACATTGGAGAGCCCATGGATACAATGGTCAATGGCTGTGGGCTGTCTAATAGACTCTCTTCTCCCTTCCCCAGTGGCCATCTGGTCAGGAACTCTGGATATGACTCAGAAAAGGCTCTGATCTCCTCATAAATGTCCCTCTCATTTTCTCTTTTCTTCTTTAAAGTCTTTTTTCCCCCCCAAGACAGCAGTGGTTAGTTGGGCAGCAGTGGAATTTGTGCTTTGACCTCCTCAAAGTGAGGTTCTCTTCTTAATATTTGCAGAATGTTCTGAGATCTTGTCAGTCTAAAACATCATCAGTGTTTCCCAGAAGTGGCCCTCCTGATGTCACCCTGCCAGCTCAGATCTGGGCAAAAAAGATTGAGAGGAGACTCCCATCCTTAAACAAGAAAGATGCCCTGGGATTTGCTGCTGTTTGAAATGGGTCTCCCATGCTGGTGGATCCAGGACCTAATCCTGAACTTTTCTGGGCAATGGTGTCACCAGGTTGGGAAGAGGACAGATCATGGGCTCAGTGGTTAGAGATGTGAACCATGGTCCCAGCCCAGCCCTGAGACCTATGCCTTATTGCTCCTGCCTCAGCCGCCATCTGCCTCGGTTTCCCTGTGGAAGAACAGAGACCCAATCTCCTTGGTTGAACAGTATGAATTTCAGAGTGTGGGGGCTCTGCAGGGAAGCATGTTGGAGCATCTCATGGAGTATGTGGGTCTCAGGGGTCTTTGGCATTGATGACCTCTTTGCTCCTCAGGAAGAGTGGAAGGTACAAGAGTTTCCTGAGCCTTTAGTGACTCATCACCAGCTACAGTGGGAAAATTTCCCCAAGCACAGGGAGGGCTGATCTTTGCTTTGTGTTTTTGTCAGTGAATTTCCCCACTCTTAAGAGTTGGGCTAACGTGGGTTTAATCCCTGTTCTGCCACAAACTGGCTCTGTGACATGGGCACATCTCTTAGCTTCTTGGAGCCTCTGTTTCACCCATAGATGGGGAGATAATAGAACCTCCTTCAGCAGGGTGGTTGTGAGGTGTCAGTGAAGGGGTGTATCTAATGCAGCTGGCTTGGTGCCTGGACCCAATAAATGGAAGCTGTCTGTACAATGAGGAGGAGGAATTTTCCAGATCCTACAGGATCCAGGGTTGATTCAAGAAGGGAACACGAGGGAGGCACTCATCTTAAGGTGGGCCTGAGAGTGGATACAACTCGGAGAGCTACATGCTCTCTAGGGGAGCTCCAGAAGCTCAAGTCTGGGAAAAGCTGAGAGTCAGTTTGTTCCCATCTCCAGCCTTTTCCCCAGGGCCTCTGGCTGCTGGGCTGATGAGCACAGCTTTCCTAAGACCATTGAGCAAGGGAGGGCCTTCTGCTTCTCAGGGACTGCTCTGGGGGAGGCTCTGGGCTCAGCCTGCTGGGTGCATTTCCAACCAGCCTTTTGGAAATCAATAGTCAAATGTATGCAAATGGCATAGCTGGCTCCATAGGTCCCCGTGTTGCTGCATTTCCCTGGCTGTCTGTCTATAACAGTCTCTGGGTCTGAATGAGTTAACGCTCACCTATAACCGTGTGCGGTAGGCATTAGGATCACCATCATCCTTGTCCTCATTTTACAGATCAGATGAGGAATCTGCTGCTCATGGAGCTGCCAGGTGACTTGTTCTTTGTTACTGCATCTGGCACCAGACTCAGAGCTAGAGCCCTAATGTTATGACTCCAGATTCAGAACTTTTTCTGAACTACCTGGGGTAGGGGAGAGTCAAAGCATTGCATAAAGAAGGTTGGGAGAGTCCTGCCCCTCCTCATGACATGGATCCTCAGAACATGCTGGAGACCCTGAGAACTGGGACCCTATATGTTATTGAGCCCATACATTTCAGACTGCTGTCCTTAGGGGTGGGAGGAGGATGGGGGCTGAGAGGCAGGCTCAGCACAGGGCAGTTATCTAAGGGTTGGCTTCTTCAGAAAACTCCCAAGAGCAGTGGAGAGTGGGCAGCCGAGGATGGAGGGAAAAAATCCCCTGGTTCCCTGAAGGATTCCTGGAGCTCTGAGCCACCTGCGATTCCCTGGCCACCCATGCCGGGCCTGGCACAGCCAATAAACAAGCCCATGGATTGGTTACATAAAGAAGTGATTGAATGAATTGTGCCAATCAGGCCTGAGCTTCGGCAGCTGAAGGCCGGGGAAGGATCTCAAGGGAAGATTCAGAAGGACCCCTGGGGCAGGAAAGCAGGGTAGTGCAGTGGGCAGAGCTGGAGTCAGACACGTGAATTCAAATCGGCTGACTGCTTGCTGTGTATGTGGGCTAGCCGCTCCTCTATGAAGCTCACCCCCCACCCAGAAAGTGGGAACAGCAACAAGCCCTCCAAGGGCTGGGATGAGGCTTAAAGGAGATGAAGTATGAAATCTGAGCCTTTGAGACCCTGAGCCCTTTGAGAACAGGGAGGGCTCTGTGTGAAGGAGTGAAAAGAATTAACTCGTTCAAGGAAGTTCCAAGGATGCTGTGCTGGATGCTGAGATCCATCCGTGAGGAAAAAGGAAAAAACCCCAAATGTGCAGCTGTGCGAAGGGCTTGTGGGGTGGGAGAGGGTCTCGCCTAGTCAGAGATCAGAGGTGCACTCTTCAGAGCTGCAGGATGAGGAGACAGAGGTGGAAATGGGGACAATGACAGGGAGGAGGGCCTGAGAAAAAGAACTAGGAATCTCAGAATGCCAGAGCCCAGTGTACGGCTGCACTAACCCCCTCCTCACTCCACGACCCACCCGAGGAGCCCACTCATCCTTCTGGGTGCACGAGAATCACCCTCTTAGCAGACAGCCTGTGTGGTTCCCAGGAATGAGGTTTCCATGAAGTGCAAGCCGGATTTCTCAGGACAGCTGGTCCCCAGAGTGGAGCATCACCACCTGCTCTGCAGTGAGTCCAGCCCACCAGGGGACTCCAGCTTGGGGGTGCCCCGGGTCCTCAGTGCAGACCTGGACAACCGCTCCTTCTGGGCAGAGCCAGTGCCCTCAGCTGTGCTGACATCTCAGAGAGTTTCCAGCAGTGGTCCTTTGGGTATGGTGGAATTGGAGGGATCAGAAGACCCTTATCTTTGGCAGGTGACCCCCTGTCCCCTCCACTTCCTGCCCCAAACTTTCTGGTTCGCCCATCCTGGACTCTAGGCAGAAGAATGGAGTCAGTATTTTCCCACCTGGTCTGTTCTAAAGGCTTCCTGTCTCCCTGCCTCTACCTCTCCCCATCCTGGGTTGGGCAGGTTTGCACCCTACCGTCTCTACCCTCTCCCAGTGTCCTCTGTCCCTTTCCAGCCCCTCTGTGTGACTGTTTCACGTTGTAAACTTCTCTGCCCCTTGATCTCTCCTCATTCTGGGTCTCTTCTGGCTTTTCTCCTTGTATCAGATGCCAGTTGAGGTCTTTGGCAAGCTGGCTGGACTCCCTGAACCTCAGTGTCTTCATCTGTCAGATGCACCACCTCATAGGTGCTTGGGTCCTCAAGATTGGATAAGTGATGTTGGCGAAGCAACTTGTTTTCCCTGCCATCCCAGGTGACTGCCACACACAGCAGGGAGGATGGGCCTGGCCAGATGGCAGGGGCTGTGGCAGGGTCACAGTGAATAAGGGGTTCTGGTTGTCCCTTCGGTCTTCTGAAGTGTCAGGGGGCTGCCGGGAAAGGTTCTCAAGGATTAACTGCAGAATTGGGCACACTAAGTCCCTGTCTCATTTTGGAGGCCCAGCCTGTGCTCTTTTGTCTATTTCTCTCTCCCCTCTTTCTCAGGTTAGGGTAGGGGCTGTTATGGCTTGGATGTGAGTGTTCCCCAAAAGCTCACATGTGAGACAGAGCAGGAAAGTTCAGAGGAGACAGGATTGGGTCGTAAGAGTCTTAACCCAGTCAGTGAATGACTCTCCTGAAACCGAAGCGGTGGGGTGTGTCTGGAAGAGGTGGAAATTGGGGTGTGGCTTTGGGTATATGTTTGTATCTGGCCAGTGGACTCTCTCTCTGCTTCCCCATCACTGTATGAGCTGCTTCCAGAGGGACTTTCCTGCCATGATGTTCAGTCTCAACTTGATCCCTGAGGAGTGGAGCCAGCCTTCTGTGGACTAAGACCTCTGAAACTGCCAGCCCGCAGATAAACTTTCCTCCTCTATAATTGTTCTGGTCGGATCTTTTAGTCACAGCAGCAAAAAAGCTGAATAAAACAGGGGCCAAGGGTCTCCAGGCCAGGAGAGATTCTGGTGAGAAAACAGTGTCACGTTGAAGGTCACAAGCCAGAGGTGAGCTAGTACTGGGTGGGTCTCAATCCCAGCTCCCCCACGTCCTGTTGGTGTGGCTTTGGACAAACAGCTTAACTTCCCTAAGCCTCATTTG